TTTGGTGCCAAAAACCCCCAAGGGTCTGGTCTGTGCTCACCTTATTAACCTATTTGGTTGGTAGATTATTCTCCAGCCTCCCCAGGAAAGAGGGTGAAGAGGCTTGAGGGGATTTTTTTTTTGGGGGGGGGGGAGGAGGGGGAGGGAAGAGAGATAGGGCTCCAAGTGGCCTCTCCCTGAATGTTTGTTTAAATCATCTTGGTGGTGGCAGCGATACCGTCCAAGACAAGGAGAGGAATTTGTGCCTTGGGGAAGTTTTTATCCTAAGCTGGTAAAAATAAGCTTAGGGGTCTTTCATGCAGGTCCCCACATCTGTACCCCAGAGTTCAGAGTGGGGAGGGAACCCTGACAGCACTGGTGAGACCTCATCTGGAATACTGTGTGCAGTTCTGGTCTCCCATGTTTAACTGGAACAGGTACAGAGAAGAGCTACTAGGATGATCCGAGGATTGGAAAACCTGTCTTATGAAAGGAGACTCAAACAGCTTGGCTTGTTTAGCCTAACCAAAAGAAGGCTGAGGGGGAGATATGATTGCTCTCTATAAATACATCAGAGGGATAAATACCAGGGAGGGAGAGGAATTATTTAACTCAGTACCAATGTGGACACAAGAACAAATGGATATAAACTGGCCATCAGGAAGTTTAGACTTGAAATTAGACAAAGGTTTCTAATCATTAGAGGAGTAAAGTTCTGGAACAGCCTTCCAAGGGGAGCAGTGGGGGCAAAAGACATATCTGGCTTCAAGGCTAAGCTTGATACGTTTATGGAGGGAATGGTATGAGGGGATAGCCTAATTTTGGCAATTAACTGATCTTTGACTATTAGAGGTAAATATGCCCAGTGGCCTGTGATGGGATGTTAGATGGGGTGGGATCTGAGTTACTACAGAGAATTCTTTCCTGGGTGTCTGGTTGGTGAGTCTTGCCCACACGCTCAGGGTTTAGCCGATTGCCATATTTGGGGTCGGGAAGGAATTTTCCTCCAGGGCAGATTGGCAGAGGCCCTGGGGTTTTTTCGCCTTCCTCTGCAGCGTGGGCCACGGGTCCCTTGCTGGAGGATTTTCTGCACCTTGAAGTCTTTAAACCACGATTTGAGGACTTCAATAGCTCAGACATAGGTCAGGGGTTTGATACAGGAGTGGGTGGGTGAGATTCTGTGGCCTGCGTTGTGCAGGTGATCAGACTAGATGATCATAATGGTCCCTTCTGACCTTAAAGTCTATGAGTCTAAAGGTAATTGTGCTCTGTGGGAAAAGGCACAGGATGGATTAAGATGCAGAATCCCAACACTTCAGTGCTCACACTGCCTGAGTTCTGTTCACCTCGCCCGCTGGGGCAGCTCCTCCACCCTGCAACGGGCACCTGTGCTCGCAGGCCGGGTACAAGGATCTTGAGAGCTCACAACTCCCCTGCTACTATGTTCACAGCGGTTATCAAGAGCTGCTACAGCGACTGGTTTCGAGTCACACTGGTAGAGGAAGGGTCACTACAACGACAGCACAGCAGACCCTCTGTCAGGATCCCCCATGGCACGGACAGCTCTGGGGCACTGCGGGACAGCTGCCATTTTCCTGCTACTTTCCAGCAGGGACTGCAGACTGCTGACCCTTTGGGAGAACAGACGGGCTGGGAGCTCCAGGCCAGTGTTCCAGGCCCGTTACCCTAGGGGTAGCAGGCAGACCCTCCCCTGCCCATCGCAGACGTTTAGTCTCAAGTGGGGGCTGTTTCTTTGGGGGATAGGGTCAGGTTTGTACTGGAGTCAGAGGGGGCAGGGACATGAGACAGGCGAGCGATTGGCCCTGCTCTGGCTGTCCCCTCCCGGAGAGCAGCTGCTCCCACCTCTAAGTGCAGAGACCGTGACCCTGCAGCAGCTCGGCTCTCCCTAGCATACGAGTCATCTGGGCCGACGAGCACATCTGATGCTACTGGCGGAGAGGGCGGGATCAGTCCTTCTACCCCACAACCCCCATGCAGGAAGGCAAGAACATTGTACCACTGGACAGATGAGGAATTGGGCAGGGAGGGGATGGGAGGGACTCAAGATCTAGACACCTCAGTGGCTAACCCACAAATGACAGCTTGCTGATGGGCCATCCTCAGCCCAATGCACTCTCCCACGGCTTCCAGAGGCGCTCCAGGGTACAGTCTGGCAACTGGAAAGGCTTCTGGTTACACCCTCGGCTGCCAGACCAGGACACACACCCCTCAACCAGCACCTAGGGCCCACGTCACACCACCAGCCACAAGGAGCAGACAGCTCCCTGCAGGCAGGTTGGGTTACCTACCTGGGCCCAGGTATTTTGCTTATCTGCACAGAGGTGAGGGCGAGGAGTTCCGTACGAAGGGAAGAAGCTCAAGGGGGCAGGCTGGAAAGAAGCCAGGCATTCCCACTTGCCCCAGTGATCTCAGAATGAGAGGCAGGGCGCCATTTCCAGGATAAGATCCTTCTCTTTAGGGGGTAAGAATTCACCTGGAGCAAAGCTGGTTAGCGCATTTTGGGCCAGAGGCCAAGTCCCCCATTCCGCAGGCACACGAGCGTACAGGGCACACGGACATGCACTCCTGTGCGGAGCTCCGGACTTGCAGTTTATAAAACAGGTGCCCAAAGGCAGTCACAGGGTTCAACAGCAAAGCCCCTTCCATGCCATGGCCTGGTCTAGACACTGGTGTTTAGAGCACTTCTGTCACCAAGTGCTCCAGGCTCTCTGAGCAGCCCCCTCCCTCCATCATCCAAACCCCACGGCTGGGAAGGGCAGACTCCAGATCACAGACAAGAGGACTGGAGCCTTCATGGGCTCCGGCCCTGGAACAAGGCCTTTACCTAAGGAAACCAGGATTCAGTGGCCTGCACAGGGCACTCAGCCTTACCATGGCAATGTTGTAGCAGGTATTGAAGAGAATGGTGAAGTCAGGATCCTCCAGGCCTTTCTTCAAGTCTTTCAGCCTCTCAACCACCTCATCTCTGTAATCCTGGGCAAATCCTACATGTGAGACAAGCAGCAGACTTAGCAGAACCGCTCCTTGGCCGTGACTTCCCCACATGCTTTATACCTGCTGTCACTGAGTGTGGGGGGACACAAGGCCCTGCACCCCTGGCTTCCTGCGATTCACCATGACTCTCAGCTAGCCAGTAAAGCAGAAGGTTTATTTAGACAACAGGAACACAGTCCAAGACAGGTCTTGCAGGGACAGACAACAGGATCCCCCCCCGTTAGGTCCATCTTGGGGTCTCAGGGCCCCACAGCCCCCTTGGGAGGTCAGAGCCCTGTCTGCCTCCCAGCCATTCCACCAGCCAGCTCCTGAAACTCTCCCTTCAGCGATCCCTCCCACAGCCTTTGTTCAGTTTCCCAGGCAAAAGGTGTGACCTGGCCTCTAACCCCTTCCTGGGTTCTCATGTTACATGCTCAGGTATTCTCGTCGGTCAGTCTCCCATCCCCCAATGCAGACTATCCTAGCCACACTCCCCTGTCAGCATTCAAAGACCACAGTAAGAACAGTCCCAGTTTGTCACACCTGGCACTGACACAGCACCTCTGACATGGTCGGAGGTCCCAAGACTGGATCATTATGCCACTTGGCTGCCTGCCCTCCCCCAGGAGTTGGCACACTATCTTCCCATCTGAAACCGGGCTATAAAGGGGAAGTGACTCACTCCAGATAGCCCCCTGCAAGCCAGGACTAAACCCAGAGTCTGAACTCCCAGCTCTGTGGTCCAGTCATGTTTGCAAACCAAACGAGGGTGAAACAGAAACCCCCCCAGCCTCCCTTTTCCTCTGCACGGGGCCCACAGCTCCACTGACACCTTCCAAGTGGAGGAGCGCCCTCTCCTGGGCAGAGAGCCTCCTTCTCAACGCCAGGCTCATGGCTATTACAGGATTTGTGCTGCACCGCGCCAGACAGCTCCAGTCACAGACCAGGAGCCAGCTGTACTAGTCCTGTTTGTACAGCACCAAGATAAACTTTCATGGAGCTCAACCAAAAAAAAAAATGCATTTTTCCACAAAAAGATTTTCTGCAAGAAAGTTTCAGTTTTGCCAAAAATAAATCAATTTTCCATTGGGGAAAAAAAAAAAAAAGAGGATTACTTCCTGGCTTCCCATCTGGAAGGCTCTTGTCAATTTCACTTTCAACCCATGGGCCAGCTCCTGGAGGTGGAGAGGCAGGAAGCTAGGACTGTGCCTCTCTGGTACCTGGAGCTGTGGGGTCAGGCCGAGCACCAGACCTGGAAGGCTATTGTCAATTTCACTTGCCGAGGGGACGGGGGGCAGGGAAGGTGGGAAGCTGAAAAATTCCACTGTGGTTCTCCCAGAACAGAATCTCTTTAAATCTCAGGAAACATTTCATATTTTTGGTGTTTCATCCTGATTTGGGACAATTTTTTGTGGAAAAGGCTCCTCACCACCCCCCGCCCGTGAGCTCTGGGTCCTAACCCCTCATCGCAGCACAGAGGACATGGAAGTGATTATTAGGACATTTGAAACCTGAAGCTTACAGCTCAGCTATTCAATGTCTTCAAGAGGGAAGAGGGCTATTCCTTTCCTTTCTGAGCACGGCCCACACAGAAGCAAGCATCAGCATCTAGTTTCCAGACACTCCCTGGTACCAGGCAGTAGCAGCAAAAAGGGGGATTTCCCTCCCCACTGTCTGCCAGGCAACAGGGCTTCCCTTAGCACTGGCTGGGGCAGACTGTCCTAGGTAGTGACACTGCCTCTCCCTCCTTCTCCCTTTCGTTTACCTTCATAACACAGCTGTATGTAGAGTAGATAGTAGGCGCAGTCCACAGCATGCAGGCGAATGCTGGCAAGGGAGTCTGAACACCGGGGGGAGAACAGTGCAACCAGCACCCCGAGGTTGTAGAAGGGCACCACAGTCTGAACAGGAGAGAGGGGAAACAGACACCTGGGTGTTAATGAACAGCATGTCCTTGGTATGCAGCATTAGCAAGGTGAGTGGAACAGGTCGGGAGGGCATATCAAGTGCAGTCCTGCAGGGATCAGCTCTGGGCCCGGTTCTGTTCAATATCTTCGTCAATTATTTAGCTAATGGCACAGAGAGTACACTTCTAAAGTCTGCGGGTGATACCAAGCTGGGAGGGGTTGCAAGTGCTTTGGAAGGTAGGATTAAAATTCAAAATGATTTAGACAAACTGGAGAAATGGTCTGAAGTCAATAGGATGAAATTTAATAAAAAGGACAAATGCAAAGTGCTCCACTTTAGGAAGGAACGATCAGTTGCACACAATGGGAAATGACTGCTGCAGAAAGGGATCTGGGGATCATAGTGGATCACAAGCCAAATATGAGTCAGTGTCGCACTGTTGGAAATTAAAAAATAAATAAATAAATAAATAAATAAAAAAACAGCCCAGCAATGAATGAACATCATCATCCTGGGATGTATTAGCAGGGGCGTTGTAAGCAAGACACGAGCAGTAATTCTGCTCTACTCCACACTGATTAGACCTCAACTGGAAGATTGCGTCCAGGTCTGGGTGTCACATTTCAGGAAAGATGTGGACAACTTGGAGGGAGAGGGAGTTCACACACACACAAAATTGGTTTGGTTTAGGCTGGAGAAGAGAAGACTGAGGGGGACATAACAGTTTTGAAGTACATAAAAGGTTATTTACAAGGAGGAGAAAAATTACTCCCCTTAACCTCTGAGGCTAGGACAAGAAGCAGTGGGCTTAACTGCAGCAAGGGAGGTTTAGGTTGGATATTAGGAAAAACTTCCCAACTGTCAGGGTGGTTAAACACTGGAATAAATTGCCCAGGGAGGTTGTGGAATCTCCGTCACTGGAGATGTTTAAGAGCAGGTTGGACAAACCCCTGTCAGGGATGGGCTAGACAATACTTAGTCCTGCCAGGAGTGCCGGGGACTGGACTAGACGACCTCTCGAGGTACCTGCCTGTTCTATGGACCAGTAGAACAGCCTGACCAGGAAGCAGGAGATTGAGTTTCCTGCTCTCTGCACCCCCCCATTGTGAGCCAGGTGGTGCAGGGTCCCCATTACTGGGGGGGGGGGGGGCATGTCCTTACACTGCATTTATTTACTTACACTGACATTCAGTTTGTCCCGGTAGAACTCCAGCAGCGTGGCACTGACCTCCACCGCTCGCTCACGTTCGTGCTCTTTGCTCGACCTGATCCATGGGCCTAGATGCTGCAGAGGGAGACCCGAAGACGAACTCAGAGGTGGCTGAAGGCTTGTCCCTCGACCTCAGAGACTGTGGAGTCGTACGACAGCCCATGGGCTATGGCCTCTACAGAGCATTGCATGGTGGGGCCTATCTGGGTTAGAGTGACAAGCTAGGCAGGGGACACCGTTACGCTCAGGAAGATAACTGCAGTCTGAGGGATGGGCCAATTCTCACAACTCTGGATTCAAGGAACTCCCAGGACCAAGTCTGCCAAGGGCAGATGCTGCCACCTTCCATCTCTCTATGCCACACGTGTCCTTTGGTCCACAGACAGCCCGACTGAACCCCCAGTCTATTCTGTTGACCAAGGAGAGTATCGGGCACGGAGACTAGAGGTGCTGCCGTGTGGGGCTGAGCAGATACAGGCAACCCAGCTACCATCGTGCGGGCAGGAGTACCAGAGAGAGGGCTGAGATATGGGCACCTCGCTCTAGGCCCCAAATACCAGAAAACAATGTTGAGAGAAGTGACCAGAAACCCGCAACATCTTCCTCCATTTGCTCAGCATTAGGGTGGCGTGCAGCCAGCTAGTTGGTAGCCAGGAACCTTCCTACTCCTCCCCCCCCCCCCCCCGAGACTCTGGTGCCACCCACCTCAAACATGCTCTGCAGTCCACGGGGAGTCAGGTCCTTCTGCAGCACGCTCTTCAGCAGGTCCTTAAGGGCACTGACGGTGTCGTGGTAGAGTGTCTAGAAGGAGGAAAAGGCACGAGGTTATTGTCCAGGGGACCGCTCAGATTAGTCCCAGTGGAGTCGGTCGGGCTACAGAAGGGCCCGGAGCTTTGCGTGAGGCCTGGGCTAGCAGCTTGCTGCAATAACTGGCATAACAGGGAGCAGCAGCAGCTGCCTTCCTCTTGGGTACAGGGGTGCAGCTCACAGAGATACAAGGCCCAGCAAGCGAGGCCTCGCCATAACGAACTGCTTGGCCATGCGGTCTAGCGACCCGGTGGGGTGGAACTCGCAGCAGGGAATGGCTCCAGCTTAGACCGCATGGCACCTGCTAGCCGGGGGTTGGGACAGGCAGCACCGACGTTTGCTAGGCTTTAGAACCCCCCCCCGTTCCGAAATCCAGAACTTCTGGACTCACTAGCACTTCTCCAAGTGCGACAAGTGCCAGGAGGAGCTTCAGGCCCCAAGTGATGCGTTCTGCTTCACCGAAGTTATCCCAGAAAACACACACAGGGTTTCAGACTCCGGAGGGAAAGTTTGTAGGAGCTTTATTAAAAGCTGGTTTGAGCGGCCTGCCCCGACCTCTGGGTAACAGGACAAGCCCAGAGATACGGCTTCAGTTTCTGCTTTGCAGTTCATGGGAAAGCTGCCCTGTAACTGCAGTACAGAGCTTTAGGGGCGCATTGCAATAGTTGGGGGGCGAATAACCAAGCTGTTAGTCATGACAGCTCAGCCATATGTAGATCTTCAACCAAAACCCCCATCATTTCAGCCCTATGGGCTTTCAAAGGCCACTCAGGGAAAGGTGCCTTTTCCACCAAACGGACAGTTTTCCGGGTGCCTGGATTGTTCTGATTGGACTCTGGGAACGTGGTATTAATACACATGGAATTTCTGGAGGCTTATCAGTGAATCGATGTTTTCCTGCTCACGTTTTGTGAGCAGGAGTTTGTGGGCCAGGTTTCCCCAACAGGCGTTGCACTGGTCAAGTGAAGGAGAAGCGATGCCCGTATTACACATGGTGCCCAGCTGCACTGGAAAGGAACTGCTGACAAAGAATTAAGTGGCTCATGGGACTGGCCTGGCACACAACTTTCCACCACTAAGGCATCGGTTCCAGCCCAGTGACTAACAACATCTCAACGCTGTTCTTCAGAACAGACGACTGCCGGACACCAGCTCTGAATCCCTTGGTGCTCTGCCAGAACAGGCTCCGAGCACCATGCAGACTATCTAGCTCAGACAGCTCCCGTCCCACCTCCTTATGCAAGGCGTCTGGCACATGCCCATCTCTCTCCTTCAGGACGTCCAGCGGAGGAAGGGCCAGTACGCTGCTCAGGCAGGTATCAATCAGTTCGACGTGATCAGGCTCGCTCAGGGGAGGCTCCAGCACGCTGACCAACGAGTTAAGGGAGCAAGCGAGCAGCTACATGCAGTCTCTAAAGGGAGCGAATGCCACACCCGTCAGCCAATGGGAAGCATTTTAATTTGCAGTCTTGCTGACTTAGCTGCATAGCCAATTTCTCCAGATTGGTGTCAGGGGCAGCGACGTGCTGCAGGATTTTTAACTCTAGCTCAGAAACAAGTTCTCTCTCTAGCAGAATTTAAAATGAAGAGTGAGGCCCCTGGCTTTCTATTTTGCATGAAGAGATTTTAGTGCCAAGCCCGAGCAATAAGACCAAGATGGAGGGTTATTAGCAAGCGCGTAACACAGGTGGGGAGCGGGGGTGGGTACGGGCACTAGCTGGACCTTTTCTGCAAGGATTGTCTCGATCCAAATTCCTGGGGTGCCCCCGCGCTGGGCAGCCCTGCAGGTTTGTCCATGGTGTTCATACCACTCACAAGAGACGGCAGCCGCCTCGGCAGGTGGTCTCTCATTCCACACAGGTGGGAGGCCAGAGAAAGGATACACCAGGTATGTGCAGGAGATCATGGCTCTCTGGCGAATAGGAGTTCTCAGCAAATCCAGAGGTTCTGTTTTGATAAACTCCTAGCATGCAAAGGGAGAGAGTTTAGCAGAAAGCCAGCACTCAGCACCCTCTCAAAGGCAGCTTGTCCTGAGGAGACCACAAACATTTGGCCCCAGAACACAGGCCACGCAAGGTCCTGGAACAACTCTGCCTCCACAGAACTGCCATGAACCCTGCCTTCCCAGTCCCGAGCCAACAGCCGCATGCAGGAGACCACTGAACCCGGGCAGTCACCATGCCTCCGTCTCACCCGCTCATTTGATACGGTCAGCAAACCATGCGACCATCCTCCACTTCCAGTCTCTACATGCCTGTTCCCAGTCTGCACTAACTCCCTCCCTGCCCCCCTGGGAAAGCGGACAGACGCCCCCCAGAATCCCAGGCCGAGGCAGAGCTGTGTCTCTAACCCAGCCCCCCAGTCATGACCTAGGTCTCAAGAGAAGCAGCCCAGAATTTCCCCTTACCATCATCTGAGCTAGGAGCTCGGCTTTGCGGGAGAAGACGAAGGCGCCGGACTGCGCGCTGCTCGAAATGGCCTGGCTGATCATGCAAATGCTCCGAATGAGACACAGCTTCAGCGTCAAATCCTGAGGGCAGAGATTGCAGGACAAGCAGTGAGGTGCAGGTTCAAGGCCAGGTGTATCTACCCCACACCCTGACTGGGGTGCACTGGGCTGGCAGGCTCAGCCACCCCAAAAGGGGAGCCCAGCGGCTTTCCTTGCCTGCCTCTATTCCTGTTTCAGTGTGGGCTCCCAGCTCGGCTTCTCGGCCAGGCTACAGCCGCGGAGGCTGGTCTACACCTAAAATTCAGGTCTATCTACGACGTCACTCCGCGCCGGGAAAGGTTTAGCGCCCCCACAACAGTACCTAGGTCAACTTCGGTTTAGGTGTAGCTGTGGCAAGGTTGACAAAAGGATTCTTCTGTCAGCCCGGCTTCTGCCTGTCGGGGGCAGATTACCTACATTGACTGAAGGGGCTCTCCTGTCAGCGTAGGAAGCGTCTACACAATGACGCTAGAGTGACACAGCGGCAGTGCTGTCACTGTAGCATGGACATCCCCTCAGCTAGCAAGCATCCCAGCCAGCGATCTCCTGATCCGAATGCAGCCTCCACCCAGCCAGCAGGGTGTCCCAAGAGACGCCTTGCACCTCCCACCTGGTGAGGTGGCACCCAAGGACAAGGTGCACGTGCTGGAGATTGAGCGCAGAAGCTGCCACCTTAAAGGGAGGCTTGTTCCGAGACCAGTGTTTTTAAACTAAGAGCTCAAGAATCTGCATTTTGGACCAGGCCTCAGAGCCTCCAGAGGAAACACCATGGAGCTATCCAGCAGCAGGGCTGAGACGCACTCCTCACCAGCAGACATGTGTCCCTGTCCATTTCTACATACTCTGCTGTAAAGAGCCACGCTAACCCCCAGGCACACAGCAGGTGGGAACGTTCCTTGCACTGCCAGTGGCTTTGCCAGTCACCCCACAAAACAGCAGATAATCCCTTGCAGCACCATAAAGGGACTGCCATATTTAGAAGGCCCCGATCCCTTTAGATTCCAGGACATGGGATAACAAGTACTAAGGCCTGGTTCTCCTCCCAGGTACATGCAAGTTGAGACAATGCCACAGCTCCCCAAATGAAGGAACAGTCCCAGCACCCACCCTTCACCGCCCCCCTCCCCGGGGACCCTATGGAGCCAGCAGTGTGTTTGCCAGTGAGCGTCCCGACCGCTCAGAGCGTGCCCAGAAAGCCGTGGTACAGAAGGGGTTAGTGCCAACAAGAAACCAGAAGGAAAAGACATTAGTGAGTCTGGAGAAGGAGGTGCTCTGGCCTGACATTTTAACTTGAGCTTGACAAATGCCATGTTTTTGTTCTTCAGTCTTTGAAGTAGCAGAGTGCAGCTGCCCTCCCCAAACAGTGACCTGGGTGTCTGGCCACTGAACACCTGTTCTGGGTGGTTAGGGACTTTTAGCCGAGCTGTGAACCGTGGCTAGACCTTGGGGGTCATTAAACTTCCCCTAGTTACATGCCCACAAGGCAGGGGGGGGAGGGGCGGCTGACTGCATGTCAGCGCTGCTCAAAGGAGCTGGTCTGGGGGAGAAACGCACACCAAGGTCTAAGGAGCGACTGTGCTGTGGAAAACGGCACATGGGCTCTGGGTTATTCTCTGCACGATTTGAACACACGAGACTGACAGACCCATCAACGCTGCCTGGGATCGGAGAGCCAAGCTGGGGTGTCTCCTTTTCAGGCAGTCACCAGAGAGGTTCTGCAAGGCAAAAGGAGGCTGCCCAGGACAGCTTTCAGGGAGTTTGCACAGTAACCCTGTGCCAGAGGAACCCGGCTGGTGGCACACAAAGCGAGGAAGAGACCCCAGCTCCCCCCTGCTGACTGTGCAGGAGCAGACTTCAGTGACTACAGCCAGCCGAGCTGGAGAGCGGGGGGCGGGGGGGCATTTTAGTCTCTTCCAGACCAGAATCAGGCTTTAGGCTCTCGGCCCCTCCGATAACAAGCACTCGGGCACAGGGGACTCTGCCGTTCAGCCCTGTGATGGTCTCATTCCTCCCCAATGCCAGACTTCCCTGCTGAGCACTGCACGGAGACCCCAATCACGAGCACTGGTATTTAGGAAGCTACTCGTCTCCTCTCTAGAGTGATCAAACGGATAGACAGAGACAGGCAGGCAGAGCAGAGAGTAGGTCAGATTTAATGCCTCACACTGTACCTTGGTTTCTACCTTTATTCCCAGAACCTGAACAAGTAAAAGAAAAAACACGTTAGCGATGTTCGCGAACACTGATGGGAACGGCTTCCTCCCAAGACACGGCACGAGCCCATCAGGGGTGGGCCTGGGCCCTTTCAGAGGCAGCATTTGCACCCCAGCTAGGCTGCTCTCACTCATTCACACGCACATGGGCAGGTCGCCAGTCAGCTGCTTCCTCCCTGCGGAGGGGACATTCGAACCACCTACCCTGGTGTTAAAGTAGTGGAAGACGTTCCTGAGAATGTCGGCTTCGATTCTGGACAGCACAAGCTCTTTGGGGGCATACCTCGCCACATAGCCATAGCATAGGATCAGGGTGCTCTTTATCTTCTCCGCTTCGTTATCACTGCGGTCCTGAGACAAGAGAGGAAAGAAGGGACCTGTTGGGCCACCCAGTCCCTCTCCATGACAAGGCAGGACTGGTCCCTACAGGGCATACGTACAGACAGACTGGCCACAGGCCTGTGCCCCGGGATGGGACCTCCCACAGGGAGGGGGGGGGCTCAGATACTCCTGGTTCCCTCTGTATTTTCCTGTCCATGCTGCTGTTTGCAGCTCTACCACACAGAGGTCATTACCATGCCGTTCACATCCCTTTGCCGGAGTAACGTGGTTTTAATGAGACATGGGCCAAGAGAGCTCTGTGGCAGCCCCTAGACCCTGCCTCCAGCGCCATCCACTGCCGGGCCATCAGTGCTAAATAGCCACCAGTTTGCAGAGCACGTGAACCCGACCTAGGAGTAACCATGTGAGAGAGAGACCGGCTGGCTGAGAGTCTGGGTTCTGTGCACTAGAATTACTGTCAGCAGGGTGGGTTAGCCAGAGAATTCTTTCCAGCTGTTGACATGTCACATGCCCCATACCAAACTAGAAAGCGATTCTCCTGCTTCCTTTGCTAACACCTCCGCCGTGTACTGCCCTCACTTTGCTCTGCTGTCACACACACACAGAGAAATATTTGACAACTGTAGTTTCTGGTGACTGCCATTAGGTGGCGCACACCAATAACCTGCCACAGGTGGGTATGTCGGTCACTTCATGGAGAGCGATCTACTTTCCTCCCAAAAGTGCAAATTCTGGGTTTGCCATAGTGGGCTGAATCAATGGTCTGAAGCAGCAGTTCTCAGACTGGTTTGTTTCCTCGGGGCTCCTTTCTTAAGAGGTTTCACTGAAGGATGTGGGGGGCTGGGGTGAAGGGCCTTACACAAGATGGTCTGGAGAGCCACTGTTCGAGAGGGGTCAGCGCAGAGTAACCTTGGCACAGCTGGGCCCCTGGAGCGAAAGCCCTGCAAGTCCCTACCCTCCGAGCGGGAAGAGCAGTAACCCTTCACAGGCTGCTCTTTAGGAGTGGAAAAGCTTCCGTGTCTCTGCAGGGCCGCTTGGCCAACGCCAGGACACACGGCCCTCCTGCCTCGAGACGTGTTCCTCACCCCCATTACGCTGTGTGCACCTTTGGCCAAAAGCAGACGATTTACCCCCAGCCTAGGTCTGTCTGTCGCGTGTGAAGGGCCCTGGATTTGGGCCCAAGGTGCACAAAGCGTAGTGGGGGTGAGGGCAGGAGACTATTCTGCCGCCCTCCATCGGTAGCCTCCACACTGCTCAGGACTGAAGACATTAACCAGACCGTGTCAAGGGGGGTGAGCCCAGGCCAAGTCCACTCTGCACACTGCATGCCCCTGGACAAGTTACATAGAATCATAGAATATCAGGGTTGGAAGGGACCTCAGGAGGTATCTAGTCCAACCCCCTGCTCAAAGTAGGACCAACCCCAACTAAAAAGGGCTTTGTCAAGCCGGGTCCTTGTCCCTGTGCATCAGATTCCCACTCAGACGGGGACAATGCAGATACATTTGAGGGCAGGCTCTGGCTGCCAGCTCTCATGCACTATCTAGTCAATCCCACCCCCCTGGGGCCGTGCGAAGCTAGGGCCCACACCCTGCTCTGAACAGGTAACGCACTGGTGTTATTCACCATCCATCCTTGACCTCCCACCAGACTCCCTATTTGCCAGATGCAGAAACTGAAGTTGTGGCTTCTCCGAGGCCTCCCAGCAAGGAAGAGCAGGGCTAGGACTGGAGTTCATAGGAGGTCCCAGTTCCCAACCCTCTGCTCATTCTGCTCCTCCCTGTGGCCAGCGACAGGCCTGTGAGAGCCACGGGGACTGGGCAGCCCCCGTGACATCCCCTAGAGACACAGGGGACTAGGGCTGTTGATTGAGAACAGCTGCTCAGCTGTGGAGATCGGACTGCGACAGGGCTCTGGAAGCACCTACCCCATCACCCACTCCAGGTTACTTGGCCCTTTTACCTTGAAGATACTGAACAGTCCCACTGATTTTTTGAAGACGTCGGATTTGACGAAGTCTTCTAGCTTGGCCAGGGTTTCGTCCAGGTGGTTTATTGCACAGATCCCAAAGCAGGAGGCAAGTCCCTGGAGGATGGGGAGAGAGCTATTAATTCACCAGCCCTGACTGGCCTGTTCAAAACCCAATTCTTGGTGGTTTAACTCCAGGCTTTCAAAGCGTGCTCAGCTGACGGGGGGCCTGGCAGCTCACGCTCTTCACGGAGCAGTGGCTCGGAGAGGTCTTTATACAGGGGTGCAGCTTGCAAGTTGGGCTGAAACTCCATAAACCGTTTATTAAAAACTGGCCCTTACTGGAACTGCGCGTGATCTAGATCGAAGCGAGTCACCGTTAACTTATGTCTGTGCTGCCCCTAAACATGACTAGATGCAGGGTAACATTCACCCCGAATGCATCGGAACAGCGCAAAGTAACGCTACATGGCAGCTTACGAGAGCGACAGAGAATCCTGTCCCCAGGTGACAGCGCAGGGGAATTCAGGGAGCCCATGTAATCAGCAGAGAAGAGACCATCAGAGGCAGGCACTCGCTCACCCAGAACACTGCACGTCTAGCAGCCGGGTGCTAACATGGTTTAAGGTGTTACTCTGACGGACCCACACAGCACACCTCTTGGGAGTCCAAGCGCTTCCTGCGGTACCCCATATTCCTCAGAGCCCCCCCGTCCTGAGCCAGCCTGGTCCTAACATAGCTTCGTTATGTAGGCGGGAGCGGGGCTTGCCAGACGACCAGACGCTAGCGGGAGCAGGAGCGGGGCTTTGGGTCTCAAACAAGGCCGGGCGCTAAGCAAGGATCATTAGTGCAGCGCTGGGGAAAGGGGAGGAAGCAGTTTTATCTCCAGGCCACCTCTGTCTGGCCACTGAGGCTTGGGCCAAACCCAGAGGGAGACGTGAAGAGGTGGAATAAGCTGGTTATAAAAGTCCTGTGGGGACGGAGGGCTGGAGCCCGCACTAGTTGGTCGTTCAGTGGGTGTGTGACATGCAGAGGGAGGCAGGGCATGTAGCGGGAAAGCCCCCTTCTCACTGGAGGGCATGGCGGTGCCGTCTCACCTCCCTTTCTGCTTCCTCCTGGTACCTGGCTGTTTCTAGCAGCTCTTGAAGCTGCTTTTGCACCACTTCCTTGTTTGAACAGACCCCAAGCGCCGTTCCAATGCACTTGTACAGGAAGTTCTGGGAGACAAGAAGAGGAACATTGTGTTCTAAGGAACCAATACACCAGCAGAGCCCTTGGGAGAGCAGACATCCCTTAGCTTCCAGCTACCCTGCAACGCAAGCCATGGCGCAGGAGGAGATCTGACCCCTCTCAGCACCTGAGACTCCAACTGGCCAAAGTTTCACTCTCGCAATGGAGGAGTCACAGGCACAAGGGGAGGACAGGATGCCAATACCCCAGGCTCCATCGGCGCAGGACGGGACGGCATTGTAGGGTAGGGGGCGGTCAATATGAGCAGCAGCAGCCGGCTCAGGCTACAGCAGGGAAGCGCCAAGTTACGTTTTTAGCTCAACCATTCAGATGCTAGAACCAGCTGCTATCCCTGCAGCTAGCCCACGGCACATCTAGCCACTCAGTGCACGCTCTAGCCCAGGCCTGCCGGCCGGCCTGCTGCTCTCAGGGGTTTGGGCCTGTGCACACAGAGCTCTGGAAAACTCCAGCCAGCCAGCCCTGCTTCAGCACTCGAGTACCACAGCAGAGACAACTATTGCAATTCATTAACACCCCTCGGCAGCTCTGGGCTCCAGCTACCACACGTATGCAGGACACTCAAGTCAGTCTCTGTACGCCTCACCTCACCTTTCTCCTCCCACCACAGCTAGGTCTAACACCATTTCTATCCCAAGCCCTCACCCTTCGTGCTCTTCACTGCCCAAGAGGCGCATAGCCTCGGTGACCCTCAACCCCTCACCGAGGCAGACCCCAAATCCTGCTCTGTTCTTCTCCAAAAGATCGCCAAAGCCACCCACTCCTCCCTGGCTGCCTCACGCAAACATGGGCCAGTTCACCACAACTAGAGTAACTGAACCGTTGGGTGATTCCTTGACTCAGTGGCCCAAGCCCCCCTTCAGAGGCGGCACACAGCGAGGCACGGCCGGGGTGGCACCGCTACCGCCACTTCTTCCAAATGGCGCCTAGAATCCAAGTCGTCTGCTGTATGCCTCAGCTGACCAAGCTTCCCCATCCCCTCCAGCTGGGCCTGGCTGTGATCAGATCTTCCCTCTGACTGCCAGAGCACCCCCAGGGACACACCCCCAGGGACACACCCCCAGGGACACCACGACAGACCTTCTCGGAGGGAAAGCCGTTGTAGCTGTTCAGGTGCTTGCACATTTCCGTGCTGAACTGACAAATCCAGGCGTTGTCAGAAATCGCCGTCAGCGTCTCCCGGAGGAGCTGCAGGAGAAAGGAATGGAGAGAACTGATTTCTAGTCAGAGTCTCACGGGGTGAGAGAAGAGAGGGCCGCGTGCAGCCATCCCCTGCCCAAGTGCTGGGCGTGTTTAAGCCCCTATTTAAAAGCTCAGTGCTGTGAGTGTCTGAATTCAAACGCCCTGTGATGGAGGCTCCTGGGAGGCACTGTTCAGAGCACTGGGCGCATAGAGGCTCCACTGTGCCGGAGGAGGCAGGGCCCCAGAGGTTAGCCATGGTCATTGTCTGAGGCCAGACCTGCTAACTCTACTCTGCCTCTCCGCTATTTCCTTCCAGCTCCCAGCACAGACGCTGGTGCTCCTTGGAAGGAGTCTGATTGAGTTCTTCCCGGAGAACAGCGTGCTGCCTCTTCCCGGGAGCAGGAGGAACCCCTGCACGAGTTCCTGGATTGCTCCAGGCCTTATTTTAAACTGTAACAAATCCCCTGGGCACACGCCATTCTGGGATTTGTGCCCTCTGGCCGGCCAATAAACCTAGAGATGAAACGGCTCGGGTACTTTCCCTACCAGGCCCTGCCTGAACCCATCAGCAGCTACGCGAACCTGAGCCCCGTCATTTGTCCGAGCGGAGACCCCAGAGACGTCTCTTCAGAGCAGTCAAGGGTGACTGAGGACACGTAACCGCCTCGGAGTGGGAGCAGAGATCTGGGTTCTAGGCCTACAGCCAGACACATGGCTGTGTCTCTGCACATAGCTCCCTCTGCCACTCTAACCCTCAGAGGCGGCACAACGGCCTCTTGAGTGGACCCAGGGTCTCCAAGTGCTCCCGTCTGCTCCCCTGACCCTCCCCCCCCCCCACTGCGTGCACATACAAACACACCCCACTAACAATACCGGCTCTTACACCCCTTTGAACACTCTTACCAGAAGCAGCTTGTCTTCCCACTCCTTCGACGACAGGGATTTCTCCGTGTTTGCTACAAGAAAAACCAAACCATTCGTGTGTGCTGGTTTCAGATCGGCACCCCACAAAGCCCAGCGTGGGGATCGCAGAGCGAATGCTCCAAACACAGCAATGGACAAGTTACTAGTACTCAGAACAAGGCCGGTGTGTGGACAGGTGTCACGGAGTATTGGGGAACTCAGGGCCCTGCACCCCCGGC